CGAGAACATTCATGCGTGAAAGGACACATCGAGTTCCGTTAATTCTGGAATTCCTAACCGTCGAGCCAAATTCCGAGCGCGCTCACTGAGGCGCGCGTAATTCCCATGCATTTCTGAATTACAAAAACGGAATTTCAAGAATCACCAGTGCTGACAAAAATACAGGTCTCAGCGAGGCACTTTTAATCAAAAAAACAGAGAGGTTTTTTTTGGGGCCGAGCAAGACACATCTTGATTCAAAAGAAACAAGGGGAGGGGAGGGGTCCGGAAGATGGCGCGGGCCCGGAAACTGGTACGTCACACGTACAACCTAACCCATGAGAACCACTACCAAGGATCGGTCTCCCCCACCCAGGAGTGTATATGAATGTATTCCATAGGACTCGATACTAAGTAAGTGGAAGTGAGATACAAGGCCTTTATTTCTTATGTATGCCCGCAGGCAGCGTATGGTATTTTTGAGTGACCATGTAATCATGTGAAGTGGATATATGTATGTGTGGGAAACACAGAACCAGACTTGATACCATGACCTATTGTGTGTGATTGTGATAGACTACTGAATGTACTAAGCAGTATTACGGGCGGGGGAGATCGACAGTGCGACCATCAGCCAACGTACTCAAGAGCCCACGAAGGCAGAATCCAGCATACAACAACCAGGACCGAGTCCCCTGACCGTTACAGGCAGGGTCTGTATTCATAACCGTGTAACGGCCAGAGGACAGTATGTACAGCCATGCGTCGGACAACACCCACCGGTGGAAATGCGCAAGGCTGTAATTGAGTTTTAAACCCACACGATGAGCAATTCCAACCGGTTCTCTACCCACTGAGCTAATCGGCTGTACACCGTGTGGATTGTGTTGTGCCCTAGGGGGGATTTAGGGGACCTCCTAGGGGGGGAGTTAGGGCCTTCTGATGGGGTGGTACCACATGCTAGGGGGCTTCTAGGGATCTATAACGTGACTGTGGAGGATATCGCTTGAGCGCATTAGGGCTCAGGGTTGATGGCAGTAGGAACTAGGGTTGTTACAGAGTACCATGGGAACTGTGGTAGAAGTAGAACCCAGGGTAAAAGACCCCTATGGGGCAGTTGGAAGAACTCCACTGAGGCAGACAACAGAAGTGATAGCTGTGACTGTCCTCCTCCCTAGGAAGATCTGGTCTACAGAGCTAGCCTAGTACTAGGGAGCAAGGACAAAGGTATAACGGGGGCACTTGTAGTACGATGAACCATCTTGACCATCCGCTGCATGGAAGGGGTGACCCATGGGTCATAATATGGTTGAGGAGAACATTGTAATGCCAGGAGGGGGCCCCTGCTTGGTGGATGACAAGTCGTAAAAAGGACCGACCAGGACTAAGAGTGCCACAAAGGTCCACTTTGGGCAATAGGGCCCTAAGACTGTGATAAACTTGGTTTAGTGGGTCTAGAGCTGTCTCTTATACACATCTAGATGTGTATAAGAGACAGCTATATCACTCTTCACTCGACTCTAGCCTTTTCTTTAGTGTCCAATTCTATATGGATTAATATCATACATAATGAAATTAGCAACGAAGAGTAGACATAGAGAATTACCATCAGGTAATAATAGAATAGATCCATCTTAGACTTTCGCCCCCACAAGTACATTACATGTAATCTGAGCATGTAATCTGAGCACTTCAAAAAAAAATGATTGTCCACCATTAGTGCGTAATGTGGGATGGATGGGTTTACTGAGTGTTTTGATGACAATTTTATTGCTGATCAATAATCCTTTAACCACTGCTAATCTATTTTATAATAATCTAATCATAGATAATTTGACGTTTGGGGGAGAATCTTCCGGGCTCGGGATCTGGATCATTCCTATTCGGACAATACCGGGATTTTTTTTCGGTGATCGAGTAGAGACGCGTAATGGCAGCGTTTGAAGTCTTCCTCTAGTATGCATGAGGACGAGTTATTTAGAATCGAAGTGTATCCGTGCTCCTACCGCCACCGCCCAGGGCAATCCCAACAGTACCGAATAAGAGTGCACATCGATGACTAGCGCGTTAACCAGAACGTGCACTCGGTCTACCTTGACCGCTATGTTCTCAATTATTCCTACTATATTCATGGTTTCTTCATCGGCCGAGACGTAATTTTCCTTCCCTGGTAGTGGAAGGATCGAGTTCAGTTGGCCCGTTTTTCTGACTATGTCCAAGGATATGGCTACGACCGATAATCCGGTATCAATAAGAGCCTCAAACGGTTTACCCCAGACTTCGCAATCACACTCGGCACTTTTCCATAGGACCGATCGGACGCGTACAAAATGATCGTTCTCGGCGTAAGAGATGGCGGCGATTCTCACCGTTTCGGGTACATCAGGTTTGGTCGCAAGGGGAGGGTTTGCCTCAGTCTCATTTTCTTTCTTCTTCTTTAGCATACGTTGAATACGCTAGTATGTGAAGCGTTTTCGGTTCTTCTGGCATTGTTGCAGGATTTTATCATTTGCGGCCTCGGATATGGTCATCAAGTGTCCTACGGGGACCGGAACTCGGATGTCCAACTGTTTGAGTGTCTGTAGGACATCAATCTCTCATGTCTGAAACTGTGGTTCTGGTTCTGATCCCCGCTCGACCCATTCATCTTTGCCAGGTCGGATTGCTCCGATCAGTCCTGCCAAATGAAGGTACTCGGCTGGATCAACGACATTGGCGGCTTCGGAAGATGATCCCGGAGTAGACACGATAGGGTCGGACGAGGGTGGTTGTTCGGTCGAGAAGGAGGAGGCTTCTCTTGCCGTTTCCAACACTGCGGCCACCCGACCTTGATTTAAGGTTACGGGCGCGGCTGCTGGCGGAGGTTGATTACGTTTTGGCTGGGGGCATTCACGCGCAAAGTGTCCAGGCTGTTTACAGTTGTAGCACTCGACCCTCCCCGCTGGATTGGCCGCGTGAGGGGGAGCGGGAGGAGCTAGTCCAGTTGCAGGAGGGGTGGTCAGAAGAGGGTACGAAGTAGGAACGGGGCGAGAAGGGCTGAAATTTGCTTTCATTAGCTTTGTCATGATTTGTTCCAACCGATCCATCTGAGAAGCCTGCATCTGAATCAGATTATTCATCCACTCAGACTCTTTTGTCGTGGCCGTATGAATCATCTGGGCCAGATGCATGTTAGTGATAGGCACTAATGCGGCGTCTTGGGTCATTACTGTGTTCACAGGCGCCATTTTGGGAGGAGGAGGAGGTCTCGAGAGAGGTAGGGAATGGTACGGGGAGGGATCCGGAGCGGGTCCGTCCTGGTAGTCATGATCAGGACGAGGGTAACATCGTCCCACCGCTCTAAGCCACGACCGCCGTTTAGCAGCCACATCTTGGATTGTGTCCGAGATGTCTTCTTCTCCCTGACTGATATACTTACGCGTATCCAGCAGATCCAGTTCGAGGGCTTTAGTTATGATGACGGACAGTTGGTTCGTCTTGGGAGGGACTTTTTTTTGCAGTTTTGCCATCAACACGGGATTGCGGAGATGGTCGATGAACAGATCTCGAGCAGCATTTTCTTCCGGTCCGAATTTGTCTAATGCGGTCTGAAATCGATCCACAAAGTCGGGTAACAGTTCTCCGGGTTCCTGCGGACGGGTTTTCAGTACGAACCGTGCAACTTCTTCGCTGACCGCGTCGAATCTTGCTAGGAACGCCCTCTTAAAGGTGTCCCAATCTACCCATCTATGCCTTCTAAACCAATCATGTGCGGTGTTTCATAGTAGCAGGGTAATGACGGGGGGAAGGTCCTCGACGCCATATCCCTGAGCTTGCACGGCTTCGAGCAATGCCTCTGGATGAGTGTAGTTGGGATAGAATGGGAAGGTAGGGGGGATGCTTACCATTACCCGGGGAGGTGTTCCATTAGCATCGGCCATGGGCATCTCTGGTCGAGCTTCGGCGGATCTCTGTCGAGTGACGGGAGGACTGAGACGATTAGATCGTTTAGCTGATCTTCCTCTCGCCAGCTCGTCTCACTATCATCAGAACCGACACGTGTCGGCCCCGATACCAACCTCACGCCCTGCGTTGTCTTCCGTTCGGAACATTTAAATTGCGGAAGGGGCCCAGAAAGACAGCGAGGTGGGGTGTGCCAAGGATTTTTGGAAAATTGAGTGTGGGGACATGGACAGAGCCGAAATCCCCTGTGTTGATCCAACTTAGTAAGAAGGGGGAGGGTCCGTCATTGCGCGCAATGCGTGGGTTTCGAGGGAGAAAAAGGCGCGCGCGGGATGTTCGGCGGAGGAAAGTTCAATCCAAAAAGCATCGTTGAACTTCCCATCGGGCCATTACTCTTCGCTTCGCGTGAAAGGGAGCGGGTACGCACTTGGTGTCTCGCTTCCGAATCAAGTCCCGACACCGCTCATTGCATAACTCAGAATCTGACGTGGAGGGTCTCAGCCGCGTAGCTCGTTCCTTATGCTCGTCCTCACTCCGTACTCGGTAGTGGAAGCCTTTTGATTGGTAACGTTCGAAGCGACGACAATCGCTACACAGAGTGTTAGGCCAATGGGGCTCCACTGCCGTCCACGGAAGGACGATCAACTCGTTAAACGACAATAGCAGCGAATAAGGCGGAAAATGCGTATCAATAATGACAAAGCCAGCACCAACAAACCCTGAGCACTGAGTATTGGGAGGGAAATAGTATCGGCCGCCGATCTTGGCGACGGGTTCTCGTACGTCCCACTCGCATACACGTGTCCTTTTCTCGTTGTACGGGAAGGGACGTGGCGGGGATACGAGAGGCCGACACCCAGTCGGGTTGTGGCCGTCAGTCCACATGGCAGTCCAATCAATCACAAGGGTCGGTCTCAATCATTCATCGTTAATCCGACAAACGTGATGATCGAAAACACACAACCTATCGGTCGGGTTTCTCCGGCTATCGCCTTTACAGACATACGGGTGATGATCGAAAACACACAACCTATCGGTCGGGTTTCTCCGGCTATCGCCTTTACAGACATACGAAGCAAAGTGAGAGCACTCCTTCATTTCCCCAAAGATAGTTCGAGGAGAGAGAGAGAGAGAGAGAGAGNCTCTCTCTCTCTCTCTCTCTCTCTCTCTCTCTCTCTCTCTCTCTCTCTCTCTCTCTCTCTCTCTCTCTCTTATGGAATCAAGACGAGCCCAGCCCCTAGCAACAGGACGATTACAAAGCCAATCCGTAGCAATCCGGGGTCAGTCAGCTCATCCCTAGTGCTCAATCTCTCGCTGTAGTTGCGCCAGGCCAGCATCCACACGGCCCACGAGGCTGCCAAAGAGGCGCTGCCTTTCGCCAGCAACCCGATTGCCACCGTCAGGGCCACCAAGTCGGACACGAACTGTCCGATCTGCACCCCGAGAGCTGACTCGACTAGCCTTGCCCCATCCAGCCGCCTGGTCGGTATCATCCCAAAAGCCGCGCAATTCAGCCCCAGAACCCCCCCCAGAGCCAGCGGACTCATCATTAACAGTGACTCATCGTGCTCTCCTACCAAGACCCCAAAAGACGAAATCTCTGACAGTTTTGTCAGAGTTGCAGAGTGATGAACCACCGTCTCAGGCACCAGTAGTGTCTGCCCGGCTTGACCCCAGAGGGCAAACGACAAGGAATCCCAGTTCGAGCCCGACCCGAGGGCGATGGCAGCGGCCGAGATCCCGGCCATTGCCAACGTGGCGGCAAACGAGAGGTCCATCTGGCAAGCTCTGTTGCTGAGCACTCCTTTGTAGGTCGTGACAACTCCCAGAGCGCCAACGAGAGGGGAGGGGAGGGGGAAACCCGGGTCGGGGGCATTCGGCAGCCGATGTGCGAGAGCAGCGGCCTTACGAGCGAGCCATCCTCCGCCAATCACGGACAACAGGACAGCTGGCACCATGGCCAGAAGCCAAGGTGCCACGTCATCGCGTGCAAGCATCTGCATTCCAGACAGATTGAGGGACATCCACGTGGCAGCACCGCAGAGCGACAGCGAAGCCATCATCTTCACCCATAGCGGGAAGCTCAGGGTGAAGAACTCGTTCGCCGGACCCACCAGCAATACCGGTCCGTCGTCTACCAGGGATGGACGAACGGATAAGACCAATCCTGGGAACATGACATCTAATTGGCGCTGGACCTGCTGCCTGAAATCTTCCAAATCCACCACCTCCTCCTCCTCCACCTCCCAAACTACATATCCGTCTTCTCCCCAATACCCCACAACCTCCTCCTTTTCCTTCTTCGCCGCCTCCTCCTTCTGATTGCCATCCCCTGCTGCTCCTTCCCCTCCACCTGTTCGCTCTCCTACCACGTGTGACGAGGAGAAGGGTTTACCGTTCAGCTTGGTCTGAACACCGTTCTCGTCGATCACAATTTCTTCGTGGACGTCCTCGAAATCGCCGAAGATGGCCATTCCCAGAGGAAGATTCTCTGTTGATTCCACTAGGAACCCCGCCGGCTTGAGGACACGTCGAATGAGGTCGGTCTTGATCTTTCCTAATCTGGCAAGATGAGGGTATTTACCCCGGGACAGGAATATCCGTCTAATTAACTCGAGTTCATACCCAAGACTTGTCTTTTGCGGCTGATCGCTGATACACACGCCTTCCATATCGTAGATGAAATCACTCAACGGCATGCCTTGATGACGAAGAGCCAACGTAAGGAATCGAACGGCCACGTCGTCCTCTTCACTCGGATTGACGATGGATGCCAGTTCATCCCGCAGCAAACCGCGAGCAGCAGCAGCAGCAGCGGTAGCAGCAGCAGCAGGACTGCCATCCTTCGGCGGAGGAAAAGGAGACAGCACAGCCATCTTGGCCTCCAGACTCTCATCAGATGCCCCAGAAGAGAGGGCGGCTTGAAGACGCATCAAAGATTCTTCTTCGCGCTTTAGCAAGTACGACACGAGAGCCCAGAGCACGTGGCGATCGTCCAGCGAGACACGTGGCACCGGCGTCGTCGTCGGGGAGTCCGACGGCGGATTGTCGGGACCTCGACCTCTCTCTTCCCCGCCGCCTTCGTCACCATGAGCATCGACCAGTCGCTCAAGGATCGCCCAGTCCCTCTCATTCTGATCTAGCCGGACTAACCATCTCTCGTCCTCTGCCATCGTGTACCAATCAGCGATGTACACATCATCAGAAGCGCTATCATCGCCATAGCTTCCACTCTCAGAAAGAGACAGAGAGGGGATCGCCGAGGACGACGGCCCCTCCCCACTCAGAGCCGAGGATGCCGATGACCCCTCCTCCCCTTCGGAAGCCATTCCCACCGTAAATAGGGGGGAGTTGGAAGAGGAGGAGGGGGAGGAGGAGGAGGAGGAGGAGGAGGGAGAAGAAGAATCGAGAGGCGCATAATCTACTGCTTGTCCTTGTTCTTTCTTTGCTTCCTCCTCCTCCCGCTGCTGCTGCTGCTGCTGTAACTCCCGTTCTCTTCTCTTCCTTAAATTCCTCTCAATCATACTCTCGCCGACCGGTCGTTGGAGACCTGTACCTGAACCATCACCGACCTTCAGTGTCTTGGGAAAGATGGACATGGAACCCTTGTCCATTTCGTTATTAGAAGACAACATAGATAGGAGATCCTCTGAAATATCCGCGACAACCCCTCTGCCGCCGCCATCGCCATTCTGTGCGACAAGCTCTTCGTCCTCACCGCTGCTGGGACAATTACCGCTGTCGCCCTGTGCGACAGCAATACTAAGTTCACTCTGGAAGCGCGACATTCCTCCTCCTCCTCCTCCTACTCCTACTCCTCCTTCGTCTCCGCCACCAGTGCCACCTGGCACCAAAGCTCCCGTCTTTTTGTCCTCACGACCATCAACTGCCACGTCATCCTCCTTATCTTCTCCCCCCTCTTCGACATAGCCCCCCTTCCCCTTCTTTGCAGCGTCGGGATCCCCCTCGCCCTGATCATTTACCGCTGCTTGCCTTCGCACCAGTGATAACCCTCTCGCACATCTTTTTCCCGCCACGTCACCACTGCTCCTCCACTTCGCGCCTACCGTGCCCCCATTACGGCCCCACGCCTTCTTACTTATCACGCCCCCCCCGGGTTCTCTCCTCCCTCTATCACCGCCTCCTCCTCCTCCCTTGATCCCGCCGCAATCGACGGTCCCGATCCCGACGAAGACGTCCGGAAAACCCTTGCTTGCTCGTCGCGCGACCCGAACATAGCTGTCCCTGACGTGAACAACCCCCTTGATGGGTGTTTCTGGAAACCCATCACCCTTCGATCTCTGCCTGTTGGTCGCTAATACCTCCGCCACTCTATGAGCCTGCGGTCTCGACTGCCACGTCTGTGTACGTACACGTGGCGTTGCCGTCGTGCCGACACGTGGCGATTCCCTCGTGACGACACGTGGCGGTGCTTTCCCGCTGAGACGAGATGAGTCCTGGACGGGCTGAAATTTGCTGCTGCTGCTGCTGCTGCCGCTGTTGTTGCGCTGAAACCGGCTGCAGCTCGCGCACAGCACCCCTTCGACCCCCACTTTGCCCACGAGCAAAGCCGCTGCCCTCGACATGCCACGTGGCAATACCGAATGCCTCTCAGTGCTATTCTCTGCGCGCCGCCTGGGGAGCTGACCTTGGCCTTGCACTCCAGGTGACGGCGGAGCCAGCCTGTCGGGTCGACGACCTTCTGCTCCTCGATTGGCACGTGGCGGCTTCGCTTCCCATGCGCAAATGGAGATCTGCTGCTTGCTCCATTTCTTTCTCGGTCCACGTGGCACCAAGCTCGGGCCAAGGATTGCCTCACTCGATCCACGTGGCACCCAGCTCGGGCCCAGTTTTGATTCCGCCCTGCTCCCCCCCGTCGTCGGTGTATACGAGCATACAGGAACCAGAGGGATTGCCGCACGTGTCGTCATCCTGGAATTCCACCATCAGATCAGAACCTCACCCCCTCCCTCTCAGCTCCTATTGCTTGATTGATTGATTAATTATGTCACCTCGCCGTTCATCTCGTACAGGGCATAAACTGTCAAGCGTTGGTACCTCACCCCGTGCTCTGTACTCCTGCCCTCCACCGACCCGCCATAATTAAAGATTCAAAAAACAATTTGGCGCGAAAATCTTGGCGCGCAAAGAACCCCGGGAGTTCCAGAGCGCATTGGCGCCCGTTGGCTGTGAGTAGCAGTGTCCCACACGCAATCGCATATCCCTGAGAGTTCGTCGTTTTGTGGGGTCGCAAAATAGCATCAACAATTTTCGGCCTTATGGATATACAATCTTATCCAGACAGTAATTAGTCGCCATGTGTACCACGATTGCATCGCACCTGAATCGCCGAGCGACAGATGTTCACGAATCGGCATCGGGCTTGAGACGAGGCCTCACTCCACTACTCCTCACTCCACTACTCGCGAAATGTGCAAAATGGGAACGAATCTTCGCCTAAAACATGGCAAGATACGGCGCCATACTTTTTGTGGATGTCTAGAGTACCGTAGCGAGGCCCATGGTGTTGGCCAAGGGACCTTCCAAAAGGAATTTTTCGACTGGTCTGTGGACATAATGCGGTCAGATAGGTCCACTGTCTGCGCGTGATCGCAGGCAGATGCATCCAAGAAAGTCGTCGTCTGAACGTGCTCTGCCAAGGAATGCCGAACAGAGAGATTCGACGGGGCATTCATGCCTGCACCCTGAAGTCTGATGCCGTTCCATTTGAATTACCGAATCTTCTCAGATATCCTGCACAGTCCCAGATCCCTTCTTTTCCTTTTTTTTTTTTGTTTTCCTGCCAAAGATAACAAGGCTAATTAAGGTAAGAGAACGGAGAGGAAGGACCGAAGCGCTTCCGCCAGCGCTAATTTGCGCTCCGACCAAGCGCTGTTCGGCCGGTGGACCTAGGGCAACAGCTCCCGCGGTCAGCAAGACGGCGGTCTGGAAGAGACGTCATCTAGCTCGCTCCTTGAAGCGACAACAGGGATGTTGACGAAAGCCAGCACCCCTGCTAGTTTTGATGTCACGTGCCTAGCGGTTCCTTCCTGCTATTAGCGACGCCATAGATATCATTGTCACCAGATAGGGCACTTCCGTGCTCGAAGGATGTTTCCGGACTCAGAGGACATGTAACCCTCTCTCTCAGACTCATAGCTTAAGACAATACCTATAACTTCCTCATCTTCACTCGTCATCACACCCCCTTCTCTATTTATCTATCCTTGACCCAATGAATCCGGAAACGGGGACAGGGATGGCGAATAGATCCCCCCCCCCCGCTCCGGAAGGGCAGGAGGAGGACGATGCAAGAGTAAGAGAGCTTCTTTACGAAGAAGGCATCCTCCCCAGGGACATCGACCCAGGGGAAATGACGGTACAAGGGCGCAGCGTCAGATTCAAAGTGAAGGACTCCATGGATAGTGTAAAGGTACAGTGGCTGAAGGAGCGGACCGTTACCGTGATCTTCAGAGATGCAGCTCATTTTCTCCCAAGGAACGTGAAGGAAGACCTCATTAGAGCTTACGAAGATGAAAGAATCCAGACAGGCGAATTTGGCGAAGGCTTCAGTAGAGGAAGAGTCAAATTGGAAAGCCTAAATGTAGCCTCGTATGTTGCAAAGAGTACTACAATTTTTTCTTGGCTCGTGGAGAAACGGAGTGCAGAAGTGGTGTTGGGAGGAGACACATACAGGATGGAATTCAAGCCCTGGCTCACCAACGCGCAGCTGAGGGAGCAACGAAGGTTGGAGGAACTATCGACATTTTGGGTCATTGCGGTTCAAGTACCGTTAGATGCTATGTTTTATCTGGAGTCACACATACGACGAGCAATTGGCCCGGTTACGTTGACGCACCCGCCAGAGCGGGACCGTCAAAAGCCGGCGCTCGTGAATATCAAGTTTGATCTCGATCCGGAGGCTAGACCAAACATGAAGGATTCTATAATAGCTGTCTCTTATACACATCTAGATGTGTATAAGAGAGGAGCAACGAAGGTTGGAGGAACTATCGACATTTTGGGTCATTGCGGTTCAAGTACCGTTAGATGCTATGTTTTATCTGGAGTCACACATACGACGAGCAATTGGCCCGGTTACGTTGACGCACCCGCCAGAGCGGGACCGTCAAAAGCCGGCGCTCGTGAATATCAAGTTTGATCTCGATCCGGAGGCTAGACCAAACATGAAGGATTCTATAATAGTGGACACCTTCGAAGGAGACGAACTTGAAGTCAAGCTTGCGTCATCAGACACTCCACGCTGTCGGAAATTTCGTGCGTTCTTTCACACAGCCGACGAATGTAGGAGAGGAGGTCGCCCTCGTCAGCAACAAGGCAGTGCAGGAGGTCAAGGCGGCAGAGAAGGAGTGGCTCAGGAGGGATTGTCCAGACATATATATCAAGGACCGCTTGGAAGAGGAGGAGCGAGCGCCAAACCTGCGGCTTTTGCCGTTGGAGGCGGACCGGCCCAACCACCAGAGATGAGTTTTGCAAACATCTACCAGAATCCTGCTTATACGGTGACTCCACAGGCCATGCAAGCTAACGCCCTCTTGGCACAATTGTTCTAAGAGTTGGCGCTAGCACAAGCAAGTAGCGCACTTCCGCTTGGGCAACCATTAGGACTATTCCAACAGATGGGTAATCCAGGATATGGAGGAGGTTTAACATGTTATTCATTAAAATAGTACTTTATTTTCTAAATAGTACTTTTGTCGTTCGAGAAACTCGAAAGGTATACACGGCTGACGAAAGAAGATGCTCATTATACATTAATACACAATGATCAGAGTCCCTGTTCAACGGATAAATCCTCAACTAAACTGGCACACATTCAGACAGTCAGTACGACGTAGCATATCGAAGGTTTCCCCTTGTGAGGGACGCATATGAGTGACCCGAAAAAGGTCTTCGTTGAGGCTTAAAAGGGTGCATGGGAGTGAAAAGAATAGCTCATTTTTGAAGTTTAATTGAATACAAGCAGGATGAGTAGGATACATCTGAGTCACATGTTTCGATATAATCCATAATACACAAGTTGGCTAGTTTTATAGTAAAACTGGGATATATCCGAATCAAATATTTCATTATTCGGATGGAGAAAATCCGTTATGTTATAAACCGTGCGTCATTCATTAAATATCCTTGAAGTTCACTCAAAAACAAGGATGAACTTATGATCATAGCCCGGATCACCCTCCGAGGGAAAATTAACCAATATGTTATCATTCCAAGAACAATTATAGCTTAGCAGACATTTCTTAAAATAAAAGGGCATTGGATGGAGTGAAGTGGTGGGCAACATTATGCAGAGATGTTATCATTTGCCGCTTGTCGAGTTCGACCTCGCAACCATGAACTTGTAACATCCCTACCCAATCCTGCCCACCACTCCGCCACTGTCCTTGCCGAGATCAAATGATGTATGTTAACAAATAAAAGTGCACCATCGGGAACCCCTTAAGAACTCTAGTAACCATCAGTCTTAAATTCCAACTATATGGCGGTTGCATATACATTATCACTTTACCAAACATTTCTCAAAACAAACGGGCATCGTACAGAGTGAAGTGGTGGGGAGCATATTATGTAGAGACGTTATCATCTGAGGATTGGGCATTGGAGAAGGCTCAAACGAATGCGTAGGATATATCCGAATCAAACTGTGTACAAATTATCAGACGTTGAAGTGACCAAGGACCTTATAATTATTTTGGAAGATCTCACTGAATTTTGAAGACAATTGACAACTCATGAGAACTAGATTGAAAAGCGAAGACAAATTAAAAACAGAGTGGGACACCCAGCCTACATAAGCAGGCACACAACCATTGTCGAGACAAATGAGAAGTATGCCGTAAAAACTGATAACAGTTATCTGGTCCCAATATTGTGAATTCGTAACGGTTACCTCAAAAGTTTCCATTAACCAAAGATTTGGCAAGGCTATTTCGGACCGTCCACAATTAACCAAAAAGTTTCCGTGAAAATTTCAACTAATCGGACATTCTAACACAAAAATTTGAAAATGTCGAGATGTCTCTCTAAAAAAGTCTACACTATGAAAACATTAACAAATCCGACATCCTGACGGAACTCTAAAAACGTAAGACTCGTCACGAAAGTGTCCCGAACTTGAAATCTTCAAAATAAGTCTCTTCAAAAAGCGTTCACTAGCGGTTCCCACGTTGAACCATGCACAATGCAAGCCTAGATAGGAGGTTGAGGCAGACCTTCGAAACCCGTAATGAAAATCGAGAAACCTTGAACGTCTCCCTCAGCCATGACAACAGCACGTCTCAAGGACACAAGAACATCTGCAGCTTGCAGATAAGGTGATGTAAAATCCCCTAACATCCAGTTTCCCCCTTGACGCTCTTATGTTTGGTTGTCGTAACAGTATCCTTATTCTCTGGGTCGGATGCATCCGAACCACAACCGACCATGAGCCAGGGTCGGCACTCGTGGCTTTCGTTAATACTTTACAGTGTGCAAATTTCAACTAATCTGGCATTCGACCACAAAACTTAGGAAGTGTCGAGACTCGTCTCTCAAACTGGTGAAAATTAAAAATAATCAGAAATGACTATACTACGAAAATGTTTACAAATCCGACATAATGATACAAAATTCCAGAAACGTAAGACTGGTCACCAAACGTCTTAAAAAGTTGAAGTCCTCAGAAGAAGCCTCTTCGCAGAGCGTTCACTATCGGTTCCCATGTCGAACCGTCCACCATGCAAGTCATGATTGGAGGTTGAGGCAGACCTTCAAACTCCGTAATGGAAAACGAGAAACCCTCAATGTCACCCCCTGCTCCGAGCACAGCATGTCTCAAGGCGAAAAAAACTTCTGAAGCTTTTACATAAGCTCTTGTAAAATCTCCTCGCATCCAATTTTCACCCCGACGTTCATATATTCGCATGTCG